ATCCTCGACGTTTCCAAGCGACTGGTTCGTCCGTCATTTTCTTGTTCGAGCGATCGAAAAACTCGTTTCATGGCCTCGTGGCGTACTTCTAAAGATGGGAACTCCTCGGCGATATCTTCCGCTCGAAAAGCCCAGCTTCCTTCGCTCCACGAGTTTGAGAGGTGCTGACTTTTGTCTTGAGCCATGTCAACTGGGCTCGAAACATGGCTGCCGCCGACACCAGAATTGTCTTTCGTAGCTTTTGCACGGTCTTCTTTTGTGTTTGGAAGGGAGTGAATCCTCATGAAAGGCGGTGAACCGTCTCCAGCCTCCAAATCAGTGAGCATGTTCCGCCGCATATTATTAACTTGGCATGTTTGGTTTATTCCGAGGCATCAGGCACAATTATTGTCAACGAAAAGGTTGCCATCTGCATGTTTCTCATCTTTCATTCTAATGATCCGTTGCCAAGTTAATTTTGAATTGTTTGGAATTGCTGCACCAATCAAAAGCACGTAAGTACCTCATTCATAATGTAGACAATGCAACAGTATGTGGTATTTAGTAAGCTTGAACTAAAATGCGTGGGAGATCATATATCCAAAATTTGCTCGCAGTAAGACAAAATATCGATATCCGCTCTAAATACACTCGCTTACCATCGCGATAACCAGTTGTTAAGACGGGATCGACATGAGTAACACTCAATACCAATACTTGTTTCGGCAAAACAAAAAATGCCTACCATCTTTCGAGCACGCCATTAGTAACTTTCAGTAAAAAAAGTTTATTTTGAACTTTCTTCAGTGTTTAATTATTAATTGACTCCAAAGAGTTTGTAAAGTTACTGATATTTGACTTTCGAAGTTTACATAAGCTAATGAAGTCCTCACACGATAAACTCTGTGGTTTCGTAAGTGAAGGTAACATTGGCAGTTGGCAGTATCAGTTTTCGCTTGATGGGAAGAAATTTCATTAGCGCAAATACCTACAGTTTGAAATTCTTATGCATGCAGTTATATGCCTCGGAAATTAGGGCGCTCTTTCTAGCCGTCTATTCATTGTATTACAGGACAAGAAGTCTGAAAGTTGGTCTAGCATACTTTAAGACTCACGAAAACTAAATAAAAAGTTTTAATAAATCGAATTCAAATATTATTTATTCGAAATTCTTGAGTAATCGCGTTTTTTTTCCTTTAATATAAGGCACGTCAACGCTATTGTATGTGAAAGTTATAAATAAAATATTTAAACTCCTAGCACCTTCGAAAGCAGGTGACGAACAGCGGAAATTTTTAAATTTCTTTTCAAAATAATACTTTTAAAAGGAGCTATCTTCTTTTCATTCAATTTGCGGTAACATGCTGAAATTCTCATCAAACGTTCACAAATTTAAAAAAAGAAAACTCATTACTTCCTGCGTTTCCTGATCGGAGAGCACAGCTAGCCCACTTTTACAAAGATATTGAGAAAAAAGTGCGTATTGCAAAGCACTTCATTTTATGTCACAAAAAGTTTGACAGTTATCGAATGCAAGTTATGCTGCGTGACAGATATGTTAAATTTTTATCGAATTTCAAATTCAATTTTATATATTATCGTGGTCTTGCTGCAAATGGAATGGAAAGGCAAAACAATCACTTTTATAGGGGGAAAAAGGAAATTTTACCTTCCATTTCATCCAGCCCGCCCTCATTGATGTTTCTTGCCCAAGCTATGTATTTTATATCTACATTCTATAATAGTACAAGTTACATAGCAAGCAATCCAATAATTGTTAAGTAGTTTCAAAATATTAAGCACAACAAGTCTGAGTGGTATTTATTTCGTATTCAAAGCTGGTTTTATATTTTCATCTCAAACTGTGTTTCTCAGTTTTCTTACAGAAAAGTAAAATTTGGAGGACCGATGAATTGGTATCACACAGACATCAACCCTAAGATATCTAAGGTATTCAAATCATGTCAAATGCCATCTGTACATATTTGTCTCATCGTAATGAAATTTCAATTGTTCTAATGCCTATCTACATAAGTTCTTTGATTTTATTCAGAACGCCCTCTAAACCAAAAGATGTCACAGCGGAAAACGGTACAACCGATTTGAAATTTGTCCTCGCTAACTCCTCCGTTAATTCGATGAAGCTTGCATTTTGATGATGGGCTGGGCTGTTTGAAGAAATTTCTTGCAAAACTGAGAGGAGAGTCTCTGAAAATAGAAAATAAATAAAACATTAAAATCAGGGACACTATTGTAAGCAACTTGAGGGCTCCATCACATCTAAAAACACCTGAACTGATAGTCTTACCATGCCTCATGTATCAAACTCTGGACCAAAAGCCCGGTGGGAGCCTGGTCCAGAGCTGATACTCAGTCTTCTCTTCACGATTGTAGATTCTTAATATTAAATTCAACGTAACAGATGAGTTGGCCATACAATGAGCAAGCTGAAAACTGGCTCGAGGTCTTCCCTCGAGCCCTCGCAGGAGGTGATTCCCTATTCTTAAGCCTAAATACCAGCTCGATAACCATACAACTTTTTGCTTGTTTGTTTTTTATACTGTCGAGGGTTGTACAAAGGGCCCTTCATAACATGAGGAACTACAAAGTCAGTAAGAGGATTTCAAAACCATTGTTTAGTCGAGGGGGCGCATATAACAAGAGTTGTATACTTCCATTTGTGTCACTCCAGAGAATCTAGAATTCACCCAAGTCACCCAAGTCGATAAAACGATTTTACGTTGACCTTTAAAACATCTCTTGCATGTTACTCTACACCACGACAAGTGCGTTTGAAAGCTTACCTTGTTCTTGAATAGACTGCAACTGCTGTTTCAAAGCCTGAAATCTGCTAATTGCCCCTTTTCGGTCGAGCTTCGTCACAATAAGCATCTTTGGTCGATTCAACAACTCTCTCTTGTACAAAAATAGCTCCTAGACAACACCGAGGGGAGAGAAATAGGTTTTAGACAAACAAATTTCCTTTAAGCGAAAAAAAAAACATTTGGAACATTCATACTTGCTGATTCTTTCCATCATTCACTTGTATTTGTGATGATATTATGACGATGACGGTCATTGGTTAACCCGGAGAAAATTAATGATAGCGTAAATACCTTGAGTAAAATGCACACGTTTTCAAATGCTGTCCTCGCAGGGAATTTATCGTTGAAATGGAAGCCATCGACATCAACCTAGCAAAATTTAAGAGTCATTCATTTAATATTTCCTTATAGCATTTCCATCGTACAATTTTGGTGGGTTGGTGGGCGAAATGAGTTATTAAATGTGTTATAGAAAATACGGAGGTGGTGAATACATCTCGGGAGACCGGGCCGACTCATGTAAGGAGACTACAACAACATCATGCTTAAGTGGAGACAATGAGAAAAAAAACTGCAAAGCAATAATGTTTTCATCCTTTTACAACAAATAGTTGGAAAAGTTATACGGTTTGTTACAAAGAAGCCCTTAAAGGGCAACAAAACATATTCGAATACAGCAGTTTCAAGAGTGGATACCTAAAATCAAATATCTAAACAGACTTGTGTTACTTACAACTAGTGCCAGGGCCTTGGCTTTTTCTGTGTGCTTCAGAAAAGCGTGACCCAGTCCCCTGTTAGCTGCTGCTCCTTCTATTAATCCGGGAAGGTCAGCCACGCGAACCTGGGAAAAGAAGAGACTTCCAGTTACACTGAACCTAACAGTTTTTTTTTTTCTATTGAATTTCCGACAGTAAAGAAGGCCAACACTATGAGCCGAAGTGATACCCCTGTCAATATTTGGCCCGTTGTCGTTGAAAGCGTTGAAAAGAAAGAAAAAGTACAGCAATGTGGATCTCACACTCCAGCCATCTCGCTTTTCGTTTCTCTTCACCTTTAGACTGACATAACAAGATGCAACATTGAAATGTAGGCAGGTTACCACTCTTTTTACCTGAGAATGATCCGTGTATTCCACCATTCCGATGCTTGGACGCATTGTCGTAACTACGAAGGGAAAAGTTACATTTTGACCAGTGCAAAAGCCAGTTATGAGCAATAAAGGAATCACGTCACACTTCGTTCATCTTGTAACAATTTATCGCAAATATCAAGGAAAAGTTCCTTTTGGTGACAGGAGCGACAAACGAAAATTACTCAAGAGTGCATTGAGAGTCTAAGGATAGAAACAGCAAAAGCTTTGCTCTTATAATGATGACACATCAAGCTCGCTAAAAACTCGACTTCTTCCTTTAAACATCCTTTTCAAAGTGTTGTTACAAAAACACAAACAGTCTCCCTGATCAGAGTAGACGGGTTGATTTACAGTAAAACGAATCACTCACAATCAAACAGTGACTTACAAGCGTAATCTCCAATTTTTGGGTTGGCATTACTGATGGCAGTTAGTAGAGTGGACTTGCCTGCATTTGGAAATCTAACAAGTGAAAAATGACCAGGACACTTTACCACATCTTTCAGTTATCATGTAAAAAACACAAACGTCCCTAACGGTTTTGGCATGCCGGTTGGTTGGGTAGTTATTTAATTCTTTAACTCGCAAGATCATAATGTTAATTCTCTCCTCCGGCTGCTACACATTTCCTTCTAAATTAGCTATGTGAATTTGGTATTAGATCAAGATAACAGCTTCTAACTGATAAGTTTGAGTAGTCTCATAACCTGTTTGCTGTATAGTATACAGATATTGCAGAGAGAAGATACATGTTAATCATTTCTGCGAATCAAAGGGTTAAAAGAGTGGCGGGCAGGTGGATCATTTAACATGATTATGGGCGTAACATTCTGACAACGTCATCGAAGAACATGTAACTATAGAGGGCTACGCTTTCTCGTCCATGAGTTGAATAAATGTCGGTACGCATCTACAAACAAACCGTACACTAAATATCTGAACTCTGTATTTTTTTGTT